TGTAATATGCTGTTATTGTGTTACATATTGGTAAAAATTAACAAAATTGTTCATGTATTTGGGATCAATTGTTCCAATTTGCTTAAAGGAACATGTATACAAAATATTAGGAACTCGACGTCACTTAAACAGTTTTCAGACCTTCAATATTCCAAGACAAAATGCTCAAGTCATACTATTCTCTGGTCTCCTAGTCTCTACAATGTGGTTTCGCTCCATGAGTCGGGGCGTACAGCTGGTTGTTGATAAAAAGCTTGTCCCGGACCAAAACTACTTTCTTGCCGTCTCTCCTGGTTTTCAGCATCTCCGGGATAAGGGAACGTCTACGTTCCATTAGTTCGGGTGGTAACTGTTTTGTCACATTATACGGTGAGCTTGTGAAATTTAAGCCTTTCAAATGATTCTTGACGGCTTGGACAGACTGCTTATCTTTAAAGCGTACAACGATGGGTCGTATTTTGTCATGAGCAGGTGCACCAACTCTGTGGGCAACATCAATGTCGAATTGCAATTGGGGATTGGAAATATTCAAGATTTTAGCGACAAAATCATGTACTTTTTCTTCACAGTTCACCGTGTTAGAACTTGTTGCATGAGAATTAATCGTCTGTTCGGGGTTTCCGGAATCGCTCTAAGGCATAATCCCGGCGGACCCAGAAGCTACCTCAGATGAGCAGACCTGGTTTAACGTGTCCGCTAAGAAGCGTGTTTGTAGAGAGAGAAGACGGTGCAGGCACAATGGAGTGTGAAAGGTAAGGATATTGGTTGGGGATCTGCGCTGCCTTCAGGAATACCGTGGAATAACATATAAAGACCCATTGAACGGCATTTCATATCAATAATGTTTTAATTAAGTTCATCATTCGAGATTTTAATATTCACATGTTCAGTAGCTAATTTAGAAACGTCGCTTTGCAACTTTGTAATTTTGTCCGTGTTTGTTTTTGTATACGTAGATATATTGTCATAGCCGTTGCTAAGAAATTCAACGCTTTTTTCAAAGGCTTTTAATTTCTCGTCCATGCTATCAACCCGCAAGGTCAAGGTTTTAATTGATGCCTGAATAGAGTTCCATTGTGTAAGTTTACTATCCATTTATCCGATCTCCCAAGAACATTCTGTAGCATTTCATAAGTTTGATTGTGTTGCAGCTGTATAAAACAGAGCAATTTTATTCACATAAAGTACTGTAGGAAGGTTTTTAGTTAGGAATTCGAATTCGTGAACAATAATTATCCCGACATAAAATTTCTTTTGGAATGCATGTTTTTTTTTCTGAGAATGCAAGAAAAAATACAACCAGTTAATAGATGTATACTCGTACCTTCTCTGGAGAATGTTTTCTTTTTGTGTTTGCTCTTTTTTCTGTTCCTTTGTTCTGCATCTTTAACAATTCCTTCATTTCATTTTCGGAGCCCGCACCGATTACCACCGCATCATAAACTTGTGTAAAATAGATAAATACAGAATCCCGAAAGTCGGCCCCATTAGTGTTACCAATTGCCACCTGAAATTTACCAAAGAGAAAGGCTTTGATTAGACATAAATATATAATTGGTGTTGCACATGAGTCTCTACAATACTTATTCAAGATTTTAGAGTAAGGGCACGGTAAAAGTTCAATATTTTTCATACTTGCAAAACAGAAGAAAGAACATGTAAAATGCTCAAAATAAAAGCAAATTGGGACAATGCCGTTGTCAATAAACTTCACGATATAAACCCATCTCTTGATGTGTCACCATCTCTTTTTGAGCGAAAAAGTTAGATTTCTTAGACAGCAGCCGTGTATATATAAACTTCATAAACGTGACGGTTATCCGATGAAAAGTGACGTTATACAAACGTGCAGTATTATAAGATAAACAGTCACTTCAAAATTTTATGTGATTAGACTCAGTAAGTGTATTGTAAGAATACAACGAATAACATACTTTTTCACCGTGTTTTATGGGTTCGTAATGCTATCTTTTTGGGAGGAAATTTAAAACAATTCAATATTTTTCTATTAGGACTTTGACGGTGGATACGGAGTATCTTTCCACATAGAATGTAGGACAATGTCAAAACACCCTACCTCAAATATTAATTTATGTTTACAGATTACATAACCCCAAAAGTGATAATTCAAATTTTACAAAATGATCAATAAAAATCAAAAGGAATGTTTATCTTAAGTAACATTAATTAAAGTATCAACGATGTCATGTATTACATTATAAATCAAAATTCAATTCAGTTTAGTAATAAAACGTGTGTGGTTATGTCCACTATGCAAAATTTTGAGGTGTGGGGTTTTGACGCTTGGGTTTTTGTCGGTATTTTTCCACATATGAACAAAGAAATATTTTACCATAGTTACAGTACCTGAATAGAATGTTAATATAAATCAGAAAACGACTTTTCATTTTGTTGTATTGCACTTAAAATGATTTGTTACTTTGTATTGCCAGAATACTAAATATCTTCTCCATAAAATGTTGGTTTACCAAAATAGAAATTGCACATGGTAGTGTTGTGTTCGCTAAACTGGTCAATAAGGTGCACGAAAATCAGTTTCTCAAAATCGGCAAGACATCACTTAAACAAGCACCGCTAGGCGAAGCATTATATCCCGAAAAGCGTTGAGTTTTTTAGTAAGGATGACGGAAAGACGCCATGGGTATAATATAATATAAGCTGAATTTCAGAGAGTGGACAAAACCCCACACCTTCAATTTTATATAGTGGACATAACCCCATACCTAATTATTATTTATAAAACCATACAATTCATATGATTCTGATCGTGTGTTAGAAAAGAACAAAACAGAATATTTACCAAAGTTTTTCATGGAATGGCACAACTGTGTCACATTGAAGGTTCCATGATAACCGCCGTATGAACACATCTGCGGATGATTCTAAATTCAAAATTTCACCATTTCCGTGTTAAATGTTGAATTCTGCTTAAGCCGGTGATAGGGGGCGTGGACGATAACTTGCACTTTCCATTATCGTCCATGAACAGGCTCAATCAAACCGAGCCTGCAACATTTACAGTTTTGCCGTGTTGGGCTTTCTTTAGGGATTCTGTTTTTCACTATTTCATTGTCACATCCGTGTTATTTGTGCCGTGTGGCGGCTGTAAAAAGTCTCCCCGTACATTTAATCAATGATGTTATATTTTCGATCCTTGAAGATCGTTCAGCACGACATTATTGTTGTGTATACATTTAAGGTGGTAATTTAGTTTCTTGTATTTGGCCTTTTTTCAATTTGGGTGGTTCCAATATTCCTAATTGAATACTGTGTAACGATGAGGATGTTCCACCTTGGACTTATAATTCCCCGGAAATAAATATTAACCTTTCAAATATAAAAAAGGCATCAAATTCACCTGAATATTTCAAAGAGAAGTTTCTAGCAATTAAGGAAGAACATGAAGATTTTATACATATTTATACGGACGGTTCAAAAGAAGGTTGCAAAGTAGGTGCGGCTGTGTTTGAAAATAATTTTACATCTAGTATGAGGTTACCAGATAATGCATCAATTTTTACTGCTGAAGCAAAAGCTATCGATTTAGCATTGTCATACATAGTACAGCATACCCACGATAAATTTGTGATATTTTCTGACTCGCTTTCTGTTTTAATATCCATTAAAAATAAAAAATCTGACAATATCATGGTAAAGAAACTTCTTTTGCAATTTCATGATATACTAAAAACAAAATATGTTAAATTATATTGGATTCCAAGCCATGTAGGAATACGAGGAAATGAAAAAGTAGATGCTTTAGCTAAACAATCATTAAATTTTCAAAAAACTGACTTATTGTTACCTGCTTGTGATTTTAGACCGGCTATAAATAAACTCGTATCATCTGAATGGAAAGCAAATTGGGACAAGGCCGTTTTTAATAAACTTCACGATATAAACCCATCTCTTGATATGTCACCATCTCTATCTCTGTCAAACCGCCGTGATCAAACAGTTCTTCTTCGATGCCGAATTGGACACACTAAAATTACCCACTCTTATCTCCTCACAAATGACAATGCCCCTTTCTGTGTAGGTTGTAATAAAAATTTTACTGTCAAGCATTTTCTTCTTGAATGTCATGATTTTTCACAGGCCCGTAATAGATTTTATTCTGTAAATTCACTCAAAGAACTTTTTAATACAATTCCATCAAAAAACATAATTGATTATTTAAAAGAGATAAACTTGTATTCTAGGATCTAATTGGCTCATTTCTATTGTCATTTACAATGTTTTACATAATATTTTAAGCCTATTATAGCATTCGGCACGATATGGCCAGTTATGTGTTGACGTGCCGTAAAAATCCAAACAAACAAACAAACAAACCCTTAGGATATGTTGCCTGCTTTTTAAATTTGTCTTTTGACGTCTTATCTGTGATATGCAGGCTTCATAACCTCAGATCCTTCAAAATTCCATTTTATTTAGTTCCGCCCATTGTTTTATCGTTTAGGGCACACGCATTCTTTTACTTGGGAACCATACGCCGCTTTTCATGGAATGGCACAACTGTGTCACATTGAAGATTCCATGATAACCGCCGTATGAACACATCTGCGGATGTTTCAAAATTCAAAATTTCACCATTTTCGTGTTAAATGTTGAATTCTGCTTAAGCCGGTGCTATGGGGCGTGGACGGTAACTTGCACTTTCCATTACCGTCCATGAACAGACTCAATCAAACCGAGTCTGCAACATTTACAGTTTTGCCGTTTTGGGCTTTCTTTAGGGATTCTGTTTTTCACTATTTTATACTATTATATAGTAACTTTACCCAGCAGGCACATCAACGTTGTTTCAACGTTGAATTATGGTCAGATTTCAACGTTGAAATAAGGTTGGATTTGGATTCGGATTTGAAAGTTGAAACAACGTTGAAATTTCAACGTTGATACAACGTTGCAGCTTCAACGTTGGCACAACGTTGAAGTTTCAATGTCATTTCAGCGTTGAAAACCCACCATACTTTAATTTTTGGATAAAAAGCAAAGTAACCAAGTTTAACAAAATATCAAGACAAGATTGAATACTTCAGATATTTTATTTCAAAAATACAGTTCAAGTGCTGCTTAAATTCACTTCAATAGTTTTAACAATTAAACTACAATCTGTTCCAATCTTTCCTTCTAGATCTTTCTGGGTATGTCAAGTGTTTGAGTACTTCTTTGGCTGTCTCTTACTGCTTCTGCAAATAAAAATAAGAAGTTTGTAGTTAAAAGTGACTTGGTCTATCTCAAATTATACATATAATTACTCAACTTAGTGATTTGTTTTTATCTTAAAATCATGCTTTTCTCTAAGATTTACATCATAAAACAGCATAGAAATTGAAAAATATCTAAGTTTCATATTGACAGCAAATACTGTATATAAGACAACAAAATCTTTTTAAAAAGTCTCACCTATGATTGGTAAGAAAAATTGCTCCCCGTCAGTTCCTTGCAGCATATTCCCAAAAAATTAACATTCTAAGCTCTAGCTAAGACCATTTTATGCAGCATCCTGAAATCAACAAAAAATGTAAATTTTATATATTAATAATGTTACATGAATATTCCGAAAATAATATATTTTAAGACAAGATAAATATCCAGTAGTTGAAAAATGTATACTTTGTATAGTAAAGAAATTCAAATATATAAATTAATAAGAATAAATTTCAATTTAACAAACCTGACAGTCCTTTTCATGTTGAATGTATGGTATACAGGCTACAGCTGCAAATCTCTAAATTTCAACCAGGGCCAGGATCTGGAATATAAAATAATAAAGAATAAAATAGAAATAGATTTATAATTCCCCATAAATTTACGACTATTAAACTTTAAAGTTTAACACTCAAATTTGTTATTTAACTTAATAATGTTGTTTTTTTTTCAAACTAATTAACACCGTATTATACTATCACTAAAATATAAACATAGTAATATATATATTGACGAATCGTCTTGGGACGTAAATTATGTGGGCCGAACTACTTTATAGGTTTCAATTTTATAATTGATTAAATTCTAATTAGGATATAGTACAGGCAATTGTTTAATAATATGAAAAATAAATTTAAGAAAGACAACATTTGTAAAATCATAAATTGCCAAGGACATCAATAACTTCATGCTTACAAGGCCTACCGATCCCAAATCTTTCAATTAGGTCGCGAAAACGTGTCAAATCAACTCAATCATGTGTTTTCATCTCTCATTTATTTCATAAAGTAAATTAAAGTAGAATTTTAAAAATAAATAATAATATTTTAAAAAATAATCAGTAAACTAATGTAAAACATCACGGTATTACCTCCGAAATCCAAATAAATTGCCAATCGTGTTGTTTTCAAATTTTCCAAACAGCGCCACCATTTGCACGAACGATAATCATAGACAACAAACAAAATCATAGACCGCAACAATTACTTCCCTTGACCAGCGTTATTTTATAAACGGGGTTTTAACTAATATCAATTTATTAATCAATATTATTCATAAAGAACTAAAAAATAAAACAACAAACAACAAAACATATTAACTAATACTTAAAGCGTTAATAGAAAGTGAAAAATTATTTCCAACTTTATTTGTTTCAATATACAGAAAACGATTGTAACGCAAATTCCTGACAAAAATCACTTACAGACTAATTCAATAAAGGAATAATAACACAAAATTAGTACAAAAACAAATCGGCGACCAGGGGTGCACAATTAGTACCCATAGGAATTCCTATGAACACATCTGCGGATGTTTCTAAATTCAAAATTTTACTATTTCACGTTTAAATGTTGAATTCTGCTTAAGCCGGTGCTAGGGGGCGTGGACGGTAACTTGCACTTTCCAGTACCGTCCATGAACAGGCTCAATCAAACCGAGCCTGCAACATTTTCAATTTTGCCGTGTTGGGCTTTCTTTAGGGATTCTGTATTTATCTATTTTAAGACGTGCTGAGTATAACTTTGAATAAGATAAGCTGCTGTATATAAAGGATCTGTTTGAATAACTATATTATCTGCCTCCGCGTCTAAGATTTTCAGAGATGATAATGAAAGGGAAGTAAGACGTGAGTTTTTTAAGATAATATTTAAGTCGGTGACAGACAGGGTAATTTTAGATTTACGTTTGATGTTGCCATTTCTACGTACTCCGTACTCCGTGAGATCGGGATCTACGTTTACGAATATTCAGAATAGAAAATATATCAATGTTTGGATCTTAGAGATGTTACCTTGTTGAAAAATATTGTCATTTAGGCCAGTGGGAAAGGCGTTTGTAAGTTCTTGATCCATTTTAATTCTGCTAAGTGTCTAACTTTAACTTTAAAACTAGCAGAAGCATCAGAATCATAAATTATTTGTTCCACTGGTTGAATTGAAACATTTTTAAATGAATGACCATCTTAACGAAAATGTTGATATAGAAAAATTTTGTGCGATTTCTCTCATTTTATAAAAATGTTCACGGAATCGAATTTTAAGAGAACGTCCTGTCTGACCAACATACTGTATGCCACACCCAGGGATGTTTAAAGTTAAAACATAAACAAAATGAGTTCCCTTTCAGTCAATATCTTTATTCAAAATAATATTAAAAGTTCTCCCATTTACATTAGAGGTTATTGTAGACCTGTGCGATAAAAAGTTACAACATCCGCACCTCTTAGAATTACACTTATTAATAGAAGGATACACTCTAGCTCTATGAGGATAATTAGTATGTGTGATATTATATTTCTTAAGAATGGTATGATTTATAGGACAAAGCCTAATGCGTAAAGAATTATTGAAAATATTAGAGTTAATGGATCGTGGAATATAAAATGAATTAACAGATGAAAAGTTTAAAGGCGAAAGAACGACGGATGGTGTTCGTCTAGGTGTACTGTGATTTCCAATCTGTAAAGAATTAGTAGACGTAGAATGTACCCGAAGGGATGAAAGAAAGTGTGTATTGTTTCTATTCAAGTTATTCATAATTATATGTAGTAATAAAATGATTCCGTGTCCAGTGGGGCACCAATATTAAAGTAACGAGACTAGAGTATTAGTGCCACAGTGTACACAGAACCTGCAAAAGGGTAAGATTAAAGAAAATTTGGGGTATAAAAATATAATAAGGTGGAAATAAATATAAACCATTAGTCTATGAAGGCTGGACATGGAGGGGGACACGAACACTGAACGCCGAACAATCCCTTGAGGATGACAATATAACAACATTGTGTCAGGGAATGACATTAACCCGGAAAGAGATAAATTCTTATCACTCGGGGGATGCGTCCCTCGAGGGACTTTTTAAATATGGGGTGTGCATAGAGGCCAGGGTGTCCACGTCCGTGACATCAAAGTCCCCACAATCACTCCGTGGTGATGGGTGACCCTTCTGCCACCGGCGGTGACCCCCTGATCTATTTGTTATTAGGAGTGTAAGAGGAGGGTGATCGCAATCCCCCTCACTCTCATTTATACTCTTATTGATTGGTAAAAGTACCGGTTGGTGGTTCGAATCCCTGTTGGAGGTCTTCACCTCTGCCACACTCTTATTGAGTAAACTTTCCTGCTCGCCATTAATATTAATAGGCGAGCATGGGGGTGTGACAGGTGAGTTCCTGGAGGACCACGATCATTTTCTTCCTTGATCATGGCCTCCTCTCCTTCAGTATTAGCTGGGCCTTGGTCCAGCCTACTTTTCTGGCTCGGGCAATAGCTGTAATTGCTGTGGCGCGGAAATAGGCGACACAGCCCGTGTATGCCGCGCTATGTCCCTCGCCACAATTGGTGCATTTAACTGATTGTGACCCAGAGGTCCTTGTGTTGTGGTCCCCGGCACACCTGCCGCACCTAATGCTACCCCTGCAGGACTTTGCCATATGACCAAAGCTCTGACAAAGATAGCACCTGGTGGGAGGCTAAACATAAGTCTCGGTTTTGTATTTTATAGTCAATTTTCCTCACTCAGGTACACTTCAAGGGGGCACGCACCTGCAAAGGTGAGATTGAGTGCTGTAGATGGCTTCTCTTCTTGTTGGGAAGCCTATCTACAGCAATAAGGGGTGCCCCTTTGGACCTGTCAAAATCCAGCCTAACAAATAGTGCATAGAGATAGTTATGTCTCCCCCTTAACTTGGTGACACATATTGTTTACGCTCTTTTTGTCATTTCACAGGTCCTCCTCCATAGATATGCCGTGGACGACAACATCGTTGTCTCCCCCGGCATACTTGTCACCACAAATAAAATATTATTCATTTTGAATTCGTCAATTTTAATACTGTTGATTAGCGCCTCCTGGGAGACAAACTGCAATAATATGTTACCTGATGCCAAGGGTTTCCAGAATTCTTATTAATATTCTTTATTTTGCTATTGAGCTCCTTGGCCAGGGTCCTTACCGGTATGGAGGTGATTTTCTTGGTTAATCCCTTTAGGACCCCTATGTTCCCGGACGTATTACATAATATCTCATGGTTCTTACCGGGGTCCAACGCACAGTCAAAGACCCGTGAAAGATCCATGTGATGTCTAGATAGCCCGTGACGGGCCACCTTGACTGGCATAATTGCCAATAACTGCGGTTTGACCGCCAATTACACTCTAATATATATATATTTTCTGAGTTTAATGATTTAAAATCTATTTATAATTTAAAACTCTAGTTATATTCATATACTATGTATATGATATACACTGTTATTGCACTATAAACACTTTAATACAGCTGAATGTTATAAAAAAGAGTGACTCACTAGCCAGGTAAATATACCAAACACACTGATGGTCAATATGACCTGATAAATAATTGTGTATATCAATCAAGGAAAAAGCAAAGGCAATAAATAATGATTGATCTATTAATTAATAAACATATATATATATATGTGAAATAAGTTAAATACTAAGTATTTAGCTATTAGTACTACATAAACAGTAGTAAGTTTGGTACGATTATAAATAATTTCGAAACAAGAACAATATAAATGATGGAGGAAAGTATTGGCTGGTGCATAACGTGACGTCTTGAAGGTGGGTGGGCGGGGAACCGCTTGGCTGACGATCGACGTTAAAAAATACCATGTAAAATAACAGTGTGCGCCGTAGGTGGTTGTGATCACTAGAGATGGTTGTCGTGCTTATATAACGTATGTGTCTAGTGTTTGTAAAATCTATTTATTGCGTTTAACTGCAATTTTATTAAATATTAGCCTTTGTTTACAAAATGGCTTCACCGGAAACGGTTGAAGGGAGTTTACTGTAACTGAATCTACCCTTGTTTACATACTGCTTTTTAAAGAGCGGGAAAATGTCACGTCTGCTGTTGAGAACCGTCAAGTCAATAAGGCACCGTTCATCTTTATTCAACCACGGTGCACCTTATTGATCACCGTTCTAATATACGTACTTTATTTATATGATAAATAAACAACGTCAACACACTTTATAATAGCTTTGAATACAATCACAAACAAAATACTTAACTTGCACATTCTAACGTCTTTACATCATTTTAATGATATTACTTTTGAAAACATAACTTTAAGAACATATTAAAAAAACACTTTAAACAACACAATACTTTACTTTTAGACATACATTTGATATATAACACTTTGACATTATATTAAATATTATGCTCGTGATCTTCACGACATTCCAGCGACGAACTATAATAATAACTAATATACAACGTTTAATAAACACTCGTACTTCAATAATAATTTTTCTTCATATTAAATTCAGTATCAAAACTGAATATCAAAGTTACTTTTTAAGATTATGGTAATATTCTGCATACTCTTAATTCTTTTTGTATATTTCTGAAAAGATCAGACAGATTTTCTCGAAGTTCCGCGTGATTGATATTTCCTGAATGTCAAACCAATGCCGAACGTGTCATAGAAACTCTTGTATTGTTTTTAAATTTTTCAGTTTTATTCAGAGTTAAGTTAATCGAGGTTACCATTACTTCGTCAAGCTCTGATTCATCGTCACTACTTAAAGTGATAATATTGTCACTGTCAACTGTAGTATGTGATGATGAATTGTCGGCACTATTGTCATCTTTATGTACTTGCTCATCTTCAGTAGAAGTCTTATTAAAATTGACGTTATTTTAATCATCCGAAGTAATATGCACATGACACTCAGCATTTTCGTTTAAACAAGACAAATTATTCTCAGCAGTTGTAGCCAAGGTATAATTACCATCATTCAAATTTGTAGTTGGTGCCTGTGTATCATCGTCAACAGTATCATGTTCAGAACTATTAGAAGATATTATACCGCTATCTAGATCCAAAATATCATAAGTGTCACAGGAAGTGTTTCCAATGTTATCATTACATGCCATGGTAACACAGTGATTATTATCAATCAAATCATCCACCAGGTTATTATCTGTTTAACCAATATCAAAATCAACAATGTCAGAACTGTATATAGGTCCATTTTAGTGTCATTCCGATGGTCCTTTTTATACGCCCGTTTCAAAAACGGGACGTATTATGGGAACGCCCCTGGCGGGCGGGCGGGCGGCGTCTAATTTTGTCCAGAACATATCTCCTACACACATGGAGGGATT